GAACGAATGTGTGCGTGTTGTTTATGTATATATTAATTATATATTCATATTAGTTATTATGCAGGTTTACCGAGATTATTTAAGCCGTGGAGCTCACAGGTATAGCTCATTGCTTGCAGACCTTCAAGTTCACAACGTTGTCTCTCCTTTACAATGCCGAGATTAACAAATTAATAGCTTAGCTGGTTTAGTCTAGGTTCAACAAATTCGTTGGGTACTTCGTTGTTGATGGCTGTTTCGTTTCGGTCCACCGTTGGTCATTCTTCGGAGAGCATTGTCTTATGTCGACTTGGTTATTTTTCCCCAAGTTCCTCTACTGCTTTGATTTCAGTGGTCGAAGCTTCGTTGTGCTCGACAGTTTGTTTTCCCGCTCCCTTGGTCGTTCCTGCCTCACAGTGTTCCCTCGCTGGCTCTTCGGTTCGTTGTCTACGCGTCTGCTGCGGTGCCTATCAGCAATAGCTTTTTGTCGCCGATTCCATCGTTCAATGCCACTGCTTTCCCACCTCTATTCCTGCCTCTATACCTGCCTCATCCCCCCCTGGCCGGTTTCCAGCTTACAGCATCGACCTACATTGCTACCACAAGCGTCACAACCAATGTTTTCATACGTGTCTCCTTCGTCCTTGTTTTTCTGGTCCGCCATCTTGTCACCTTGGCCCAGTCCCTTTTAGTACGGCTCAGTCATTACATCCCATCCATCAGCAGGCGCCGCTAAATTCCATCCTCCAGCAGGCGACGCTCAATCCTATCCTACAGCCGCCCTTGACTCCCTTCTACCACTGAGCAGGGGCTAGTAAATCCCATCCTTCCGCAGGCGCTCCCGAATCCCGTTCATTAGCAGGCTTTAGGCCTTACGCACAGCTCTGGCTTGCCATTAACCACGCCAGCTGCCGCTAACAGTCAGCTTATGGGGCTGCAACGTGCAGGTTTGTGGGAGACGTCAGGTATGTCGGGGCAGGTTCCACTTTTGGTGTGTTACTATTACCGTCTATTTTTGCTGTGTTGCTATGTACTTCTTTATTGACATGGTACTAAGGTACTTGGCGTGCTACTTAGCGGTAATGTTTGTATTTACGTTAACTTTGTTTGTATTATTATACCATTGGTTTTGCAGCTTATTGCCCGTTATTTCTTTAGCTCAAGTACCTGTAGGGGTTAATACCCCTGTGGCGGCCGTTACTCCACTCGTCCTCACCGAATTTCGGCAGGGTACTCATCGGGTTTCCGCCTAGCTTCCTCAATTACGTGTTTCGTGGGATCCAGGACGGTTAGTCTGAGTTACGCTTGGGGGTTGGGAACGCCTTTGGAGGGGGTTCGTGCCTCGAATCCCTTCTCCAGCTGCGCTGGAGGATGGCGTTGGAGAGGTGAATTCTCGGCATCATTGGGATTTGCCAAGCCGGGATAGTCGTTGGTCGGTAGCTTGAGTACCTACTTGACAGCCAAATTGACTTCAGTTCGTGGTTGCAGCCTTGCTAAACGTAGCGTGTATCCTCTCCAACAGAGCAATACCCTCCAATAGATCTGCCGTGTTTAGGTCATGTGCTATTACTCTATATGCTCTTGCTATTTGTTCACTGAGTGATCGCATGTTAAATGATTTTATGCAATAAAAATAATTAACTTCGAGAACGAATGTGTGCGTGTTGTTTATGTATATATTAATTATATATTCATATTAGTTATTATGCAGGTTTACCGAGATTATTTAAGCCGTGGAGCTCACAGGTATAGCTCATTGCTTGCAGACCTTCAAGTTCACAACGTCCCCACCCACCCTCCCCCTTTTTTTTGGGAGGTCATTGCTTGTTCGCACCGGTTTTCTTGGGGGGTGCTGCTGGTGCTAACCCGCTTGCTGGGAGTGTCTGCCTGTTACATTCTATGCTTTCAGTTATTGCAAACCAGCGGCAGTGTGGGTAAAAAATATTAGTATCAGCGTTTCCTGGTCGCTGCTGACCAGAGGTGCCTGTATCTGTACTGCTTATGTTGGCTTCTATGGGTTGCTTTACATTTTATGCTTTCAGTTAATGCAAACCAGCGGAGGTCTGGGTAAATATTAGTATCAGCGTTTCCTGGTCGCTGCTGACCAGAATTGCCTGTATCGTTAATTGGAGTACTGTAATGTATTGTTTTGGCCGACAATCAAGGCACACCCCTGGGTAGCTTATTGTGTTCAGTCACTTTTCTTTGTTCTCGTAGTCTACGTAATAATTGCGTTTTATGTTGTTACGTCTCGTGTTTTTGGGGTGCGCTGTCGATTACGCCAATTGTTGTCCTGTTGCTTATTTTTTCGTTGTGCTTACTTGCCGCGCCCGCTTGCGGGCATACCTCCAGCTATTCTGGATGATTATCCCCTTGTTACTCAAATTGGTTTTAACACTAATCTGCTTTTTTGTAGTCACGTCCTGCGTTGCAGAGCTTTTCATTCTTTTCAGCTATGATATTGTTATCTTTGCTTTGTCAGGGAGTATTATTTATTGTTTGGTGTTGTATGTTCCGTCCCTTGGGTAAGTATTTGTGTGTTTTTTGTTCGTTTTTGTATTCCGGTTTCCACTTTGTGTGACAATAGTTCTGTCTTTGGAGAGGTGAATTCTCGGCATCATTGGGATTTGCCAAGCCGGGATAGTCGTTGGTCGGTAGCTTGAGTACCTACTTGACAGCCAAATTGACTTCAGTTCGTGGTTGCAGCCTTGCTAAACGTAGCGTGCATCCTCTCCAACAGAGCTATACCCTCCAATAGAACTGCCGTGTTTAGGTCATGTGCTATTACTCTATATGCTCTTGCTATTTGTTCACTGAGTGATCGCATGTTAATTAACATGCTAACTTCGTTCGCTCGATCAAACTCAATCAGAGTGAAGATGTTTATTGGCAGATCGTAATTTACTAGTGCGAGAGTAAAATGCATGCAACCAGACATGTTTTTATCAGCTTTTGATAAGATATAGCGGCTCTCTGGGCAACATTCTTGTTAAACACCAAACTACTTATTAAATACGAGCTCAATTCCTACAGACTGGAGGTGTTGTGATTCTATATTTAGCCCCATTTTAGGACAGAAATTAAGTTTTTTTCTTTGGACTTCTTTATACATCACTAGTACGCATCGAACATCATTAAACTTTCGAAAGGGCTAAGTGTACAATGAGATAAAAAATGAAGAGTAATAAGCCTTTAAACTTATAACAAAATTCGAACAAGGGGTGCTAGAAATTTGATTCTTAATTACCTTGATATAACATGACTAATATCGAAATTTCTTAAAGGAATTTATGCTTTTGTGTTCAAAGACCACAACAGTTGTAGTCAAGCCTTGATAAAATATTTTTCTTCCTGGCAGCATGCTTCCCAGAGACCCAGACCAAAAATTCCCTGCCAATTTTTTTTATAAATATGAATTTTGGTTGTAATTAAATAACAGCGTCCTATATATACTACCTTACTAAGTGATATACTACCTCAATATTAAGAAAAATATAGGTTTTAATTACTATAGAATTAGGAACATGAAGGAATTCTATGAAACAATATTTGAATTTTGTTTTCAGATTGTAAATCTGAATTTATATCAGTATTCATGCACTATTCAATAATAGTATAGTACGCCCTTGTTTTTCACATGTATCATAATCATGAATCATGATAACAGACAGTTGTAGTACTGCCACATGATATAATTTTTGTGGCTAGCCCGTTTGCGGGCTAGCCATTATCACATAGTACACAAACGCGATGAGCGATGATGATCATGGTGTCCAGTCCGGATTTTCGTAAAGTCTCGGAAGCAATCGGAAGCGCCCGTATTTTTCTGCCGACATTTTACATTTGCATTTCGAGGCATTTCATGATTTTGATCCAGTTTGAGGACTTCTACTTCTACACTAGCATGAGCAGCATATCGCGTTATTCCTTGTGTTCCTTTGAGTAAACTGTAAAAGGTATATTTGCTCATTTCTATTTTTGTATAAGTTTGCTTTTATTGTATTATTTACAACGCCATTTTGGCTTGGTCTGGTCAAAGATATATTTTTGATCCGATCTGGTCAAAGATATATTTTAGATCTGGCATTCTTATACGCGAAGTCGACGTATCAAATCAGAAATACAGTATACAAAGCAGCCAAATCAAAATTAGAATTGAAAAATACAATATTACACATGAAAGGGCCCATTGTGCTCGTACGGATCATACAGGGCTATTTACAGTACGTGAATTTAGGCCACGTAGCAAACAAAAGCCAAGAATGCCAGGAGTATTGTAGGTATATTGCAAACCAATTGCCATTTGTCCTGGGATTAACTACCTTGACTATTGCTATATTAGTAAAAAAAAACTATAAACTACCTTGACTTTTGGTAATGTAGTCACAAGAACAACCTTGACTATTGCAGCCTATAGTACAGTAGTCCATGTAGATGAAATTATTTTCGTAATTTTGTTAATATTTGCATTTCTTAGTATATATCTCCTTGGATGGATAAAAATTGTTGTGTTCATCATCTAATGTGTTTTCACATTCCTTTTGAAACTATTTGCTAAAACACCCTCTGGGTATAATAAGCATCTGGACAGCAAGTATACCCGTATTCTTGGGTTTCATATGACATCACAAAATGTGACGGGCGGGCAACTCTAAAACAAAACACAGTTATCAGAGTGAGTCGATTGTTCGTTTTATGTATTAGCCTTGTGTTTGGAGGCAAATACATGGAATTTCGTATCATTTTTCACTCCACTACAGCACAAGCATCAATGCATTTGAGGTTGACCCCCCGTCAGATTCACTGCATAATGCTGTAGTGAAACTAGGGATGAGCCGATTAATCGGTACGGCCGATAAATCGGCCGATATTTGGCGTTTTCAAAATAATCGGTAATCGGCCGATTATTTTTTATAATCGGATATTTGCTGATATTCGCAATTTTTTCGTTTTTTTAAGAAAAATAACTCTATAATCTAGTAATCTACACTCCGTCTTGTTTTTTACACTTTTGTTGTGCGTATTTAATCCCATATCCATTAATTTATTTGACTCGTGCAGTGACCGATAACTGTCCAATATGAGTAAATATTTTCCGGAGCACACTAAAACTAGTACGTCAATTTGTGGCGTATACACAAGTATTAAAAGTTTTAAAAAAACCGTTATCCGGCGCTTGTACTCCGGTACACAGAAATATCGGCCATAGCCGATTAATCGGCCGATTATTTTTTTATATCGGCTCCGATATATCGGATCGGCGAATCGACTTTTTTCTGGTGTTGGCTCATCCCTAAGTGAAACCCAATTTGCTAAAATTAAGACAAATGCAAAACTCAGAAATGTGTGAAATGACTTTACTTTCTCTTTATATTTTCCATACTAATTTTGCAGTCAATAATGTTTCATTTGACCTGTAACATGAACAGCCCCTACAATATTGGTTAACCCATTTAGCCACAATGTGCCCCAGTGCGCCCTACTTTTTTGACCTGTCCAACGCCAGACGATTTTATTCGTCAATGACAATGGGGAAGCTTTGCAACTTAATGACTAGGGAAAAGTAATCTTTCAAAAATGTGTTCAAATAATGCTGGAAATGTCATTTCAGAAACCCAAATTTTAAGACATTGTGGGAAGAGTGTATGATGCTGGAACTCCAAGCCCCCCCTCCCCCCCCTCCTAGGAGAGCCAAGTCTCGTGCACGATATGCAGTCAACCTCGACAGTTATGACAATGTCATCTGCTGAAGCTGAGGACTGGACACAGTAATTGAAATATTATACAATTGCAAGAGCATGAGTTTTGTAGGTCAGTTGCAGAGAGTTTTGTAGGTCAGCCATGCATACTAGAAGTTATGTCACCTACCGACAATTTTTCAATGTAGGAGGCAGCAAGACATTGAGAATTTTTGTAGATTTTTAGCCAATCACCACGGAGATTGCATATGCATTGTACAATAATATCTCCTCTTATTACTATTAAAGTTAACCAGCATGGCAGGCTCTCTGGGTTTGGAGGAGGGTTTTGGGAGTTAAAGTTTACCAGGCTAGCCACATGTACGCATTGCGTACCTATTTTTTCAGTATGTTATGATTGTTGTATTTATGCTCTAATTGTGGTGTTTGTTACTTTAATGCTCATTTTTGAAAATTTATTTCTCGAGCTTCATTCTTGATATCTTGCTTTTCCTTCAAAATTTCCTGGAAGATTAAAAAAATTTCCTGGCAGCATGCTTCCATACTGACGGACTTTCTCATGCATCGGTTGTAGTAGCTGCCGCGTATATACACTTGATGTCTGCTCCGGAGGGAAATAGTTAGTTTTGTTTGCCGAGAGTCTCAAGAATATTCACTGCGGAGATCAGTTCGAGAAGAAACAAAACTGACTATTTCCCAAGGGAACAGACATTAAGTGTTTTGTTAATTGTTATATAGCGACGAAAGAAAAGCAACAACATTTCAGCATGAGCTCCACCTTTGAATTTACTATATGAGTAAATTCTTAAACACGTCCGAATTTATCATTATGATAAATTCGCGGCAAATTTTGAATTTATCATAATAATAAATTCGCGGCACCTAACCCCAACCTCAACCCCAACCTTAACCACTAACCCCTAACCACTAACCACTAACCCCTAACCCTAACTTTTTTTAAAATTTTTTTAAACTTTTCTTGCTTTTCAAAACTCTTTTAAAACTTTTTAAAACTTTTTTAAAAACTATTTTTTTAAAAAACTTGATACAGCTATTTCAATTAAGGTTGTCCACGAGCAAAGCGGAAAAGTCGAATACGAGCGCGAAAGGCTGCTGGGAATCGCTAACAAATTTTCATAGCGATTCCCTGCAGCCTTTCGCGCTCGTATTCGACTTTTCCGCTTTGCCCGTGGACAACCTTAATTGAAATAGCTGTATGCATTACATTCAGGGCCGTAACTAATTGGGGGGGGGGGTAAATATTCATATACTCGTGTTCTGCCCGACAGATTTCTTTTGAAAGCGATTGTTTTACGATATATGCCCAATTATCGCATCTAGTTACGGATGCATGCTCCTCTGATTGCATTTATCTTAAGCCACGTCACCACAAGTCAGCCAATCACGTTTGGTGTTTACCCTGGCTATATTGTAATGACAACTTTTATGCCTTTCTCCAGTTTTAAACATTTTTGTATTCGATCCGTAGTAAAACATATAACTGGCTATAGCAATGTGCACACTTCAGTCTTTATTAATTTAATTAGAGCGAAATAAAGTATTAGCTTAGCACTTACTATGATTGTGAGTTTTTGACTAATTATGATTATGAGTTTTTGCATAATTATTATGTATTCCAACATGTTTTTCCCATTAATTACACGTCCCGCGAGAATTACATCTTGCTGCCACATTAGTAGATAATATATTTACTAATAACCTGGACAATTGCATTTTTAGTGGTTTATTCTTTACTAATATCTCTGATCACCTACCTATTTTTTGCTTACTTTAGGGAGTGGTCATTATTTTTGGGGAGGGGGGTTTGGTAAATGGGGGGGAGGGCAAACGAAGTTTTACCCTTATCAATAGAGCGGGTCGAAAATGTTTTAACCTAGAGGAAGGCGGGGGGGGGGGTGTCAAAAAGTTTTTGAACTTAAATACGATGTCTAGAGTTCTGATTTCTATAATCACAAACAGCGTAGACTCAAAAATCATAATGTTAAAGAGGTAAAGAAGACTCTGAAAATGTCATTTCTAACGATCTAGAGACTCAAAATTTTCAAAAATTCCCTGCTCGGCGCCAACCATTGTCGCGCCTCGTGGGAATCGGGCCCACTAAGTTTAACAAGCTTCCTACCCTCTGAGTGACCCAGTTGTGGTATATCCAAAAATCTGTTTCAGAAAATGCTCACATTTCAGTCCTAGGGGTGGAAAAATACAAAACATTTTCTGGGGGAGAATACCCCCAGACCCCCTACCAGTACATACGATACCACACCAAACTTTTTGTCACCAACAACCATCTGTCATCTCTCCACACTCAGTATAGTATGGTCCTTTTTTGTAGATGCCCCCCAGACAAGTTCGTAATCATTTCGCTGTATGAAGACAGGCCATGGGTTAGGGTTATGGTAGGACAAATGTTGCATTGCAAAGTAGTAACACATAATATATATTTTTTAATCACATATGGTTGAATCATATTCACCAGAGTAAATTGTTTTCTGTCAGTGTTTATATGTATTGATCTAGCACAGTGTGAATAACATGAGTTCCATTATAGTAAATAATACAGAAAGGAATTGAAGCAAAACAATTAAAGCAAGCCTTGCATTTTCGGTTCAGTTTTGAACCGAGATTTTCCGAAGTTGACAAGTCTCTCTTTCTCGCTCCGCCCTCCGTACTACGTCATGTAATATACACTATAGCGGATCGATACTATATGACAATGAAAGAGAGACTTGGAGCAAGTCTAGGTGGCAGTGTGCGAACCTCCAGATCCAATTAATTCGTATGCCAAATTTCTGTGTGCATATACTAATATATTTCATAGTTATTTTCCATTACTTAAGTCTAAAGCATGTTCTAAAGTTTTTCAAAACCTTGGATGACCAATGGTCTTTGTATTTCAATTAAAAGGAAAAACAAACTCTATAGGAAATTTCGTAAAACCCTAGTTATGAAAATAATAAAATTTATAAGGATTTCAAAAACAAATTAAATCATTCTATAGGGATAGCTAAACGTTTGTGTTTTGAAACAAAATTGAGAAATGCTACTATGAATATTAAAAAAACCTGGCAGATCCTAAATGAGGTGACTAACAGAAAGAAATGTTGTAATAAGTTGCCTTCAATGTTTTCCTTTAATAATCAAAACATCTCTAAATCTGATCCAGCTGTAATTGCTGATCGTTTTAATAATTATTTCATTAATGTCGGACCTATAGCTTAGCGAAACAAATACCTATTTCTTCACGGACTGCTACTTCCTATCTTTGTGGGAATTTTGTAAATTCTATCTTTTTTGACTCGGTTTCCGAGTTGGAAATTGACGAAATAGTTTGCTTCGTCCTGATGCTGCTGCAGGACATGACATAATTCCCATGTGGTCAGTGAAAAATTCTATTGACCTTATTTCTAAGCCGTTGTGTGAAATCCTCAATTTGTTTATTGAAAACGGCATTATTCCAGATTAGTTAAAAATTGCGCGGATAGTACTAATATTTAAATCAGGTGATAATAGTGTTTTCAAATTATAGGCCAATATCGATCTTACCAGTTTTTTCCAAAATCTTGGAAAAAGCTGTGCATGTATATAACCGGCTTATGGACTATATAAATATAAATATAAATGGGATTTTATTTAGAAACCAATTTGGTTTTAGAAAAGTCACTCGACCTCTCATGCGCTTATAAATCTTTATGATAAAATTTCTACAGGTCTTGATGCTAATAAGCATACTGTTGGAATTTTTCTTGATCTATCTATGGCATTCGATACGGTTGATCATGAAATACTGATTAATAAACTTGAGCACTATGGTATATAGTCGAGGATTGGCTCTTGATTGGTTCAAAAATTACTTATCTCATAGATTATAGCATGTAGAGTTTAATGGTACTACTTCTATGTTTAAAGAAGTTACATGTGGAGTTCCTCAAAGGTCAATCCTCGGTCCGTTTTTTTTTTATCTACATAATGATACTTGCAAAACGACCGACTATGGTGAATTTATTCTGTTTGCTGACGATACCAATTTGTTTTATTCTCATGAAAATATATCTACTTTGACGAGTGTGTTAAATACTGAATTATGTAAGATTTCAGATTGGTTACAGTCTAATAAGCTCTCTTTGAATATAAAGAAATCAAACTACATTATATTTAAACCCAGGCAAAAAAGACAAGTATAACCTGGCATTTGCAATTAACAGTAACATAATTGACAGGGTTAAAGAAGTTTGTTTTCTTGGTGTTATTTTGGACGAGAAATTGACATGGAAAGCTCGTGTATCTTATATTGCACGTAATATTTCAAACTCAATTGGAATTATCTATAGGTCAAGTTTTTATTTATTCAAATCTGCCTTGCGGATTTTATATTTTGCATTAGTATATCCGTATCTTCAATATTGCGTTACGATTTGAGGTTCAACATATTCAAGTAATCTTAATCGTATTGTACTGTTGCAAAAACGTGCTGTACGAATTGTCGACAAACAATTTTTCGGTGCTCATGATCATACCACTCCTATTTTTTACCAACACAAAATACGTACTGAAATTTGAAGATATCTATTTACTTCAATTGGGTAAATTTGTGTATCTATATCAACAAAAATTACTTCCTGATTGTTTTGAAGGTTTATTTTTTTACGTTAGTCAGATTCATAATTATAATACACGAAATGCTAAAACCTTTTATTATATGGCTTTTCAAAATTCTCTATTCTGATTGGTTGACAAGCGGTCCGTAAAAACCCATATCCGGACCGTGGTCCGTATTTTCCCGTATCTGGCCCGGTGTCCCGGATGTCGTTTATCTGGCGGGAAATTTTTGCTTTGCAAACAGAAAAATTTCAAACAACCAAATTGTTTTTGATTGAGCATGCATGCCTACCGTATATTGTTACCCAGTAAAACTGACGATAATCGATTTAATTCGCGTGAAAAGCATATGCTCACAGACTCAGTTCAGCCATATAATAAACCGATTATTGACCTCGCTTGTTCGGTCTATACCGTGAAATATCAGACCTCTGTTTTTTGCAAGGACCTCGCCCCTTCGTCGCTCGGTCCATACTAAAAAACCTCGGTCGGATATTTCAGACCTCACGCTCGGTCAATAAGCCGTTATTATATGCCCTCCAATGTAGGACAAATATTCGTCAGTTTTCGGTCAATTATCAGGATCCTAAATTCTTTAATACTTTGAATCCCGATATACGTAACTCTTCATCTGTATTTAGATTTCAGTATATGTTAAAATTGTTTCTCTTTTCTCACTATATTGATAATCTCAACAATTTACTGATTTATTTCGAATACGTCACGTGATGCTTTTTTGTAACATTTGTATTTAATATAACATAACATGAGGTAGCCCAAATTTCTATAAGCCTCTTGGTTTCTATTTGTGCTTCCTCACCACTTTTATTCAAATTAATTATTGTTTTTTTTCTATCAACTTACATATCTTTCTAATAACATTTTATTATTATACATTTACGTTATAACAGGTAGTCCGCAGTGCAAACAAGCTCCACGATCCTTCATATTCTCTCTTCGTAACAAAGAAGGTCTGTCGCCTTTTAAAGCCCCGCTGAAAGATCAAAATACTCCGTACGCAATTTACACATACAATAGTTATGGACCAACATTTGGAAGAGGTCATGATATATACATATATCTGAACAACGCTGCTTCGAATACCCGTTCATACACAAATTTTAATCACAACTACCAAGCTCCATCTGGTGTTAGCGACACAAGCACCATCCTGGCAGGAACCAAGTTTTCTATATTGTCTAGCTCTAGAACTCATTTCAATAAGCTATATATTCGTGCACTAATAATAACTTACTAGTATTTACTGACCGAGAGTGAGGGCAGTACGGGAAAATATCCAACCGAGGTCTTGCTGTATTGACCGAGCGATAGCGAGGTCAATACAGCAAGACCGAGGTTGCATGTTTTCCCGTACTGCCCGAACGGTTGAGGTCATTCTTTATTATATGGCATTGTACGTTTGTAAAAAATGGAAAAAAAGTCACGCGAGGGCAAAGTACAAAGTCCGAAACATTTGCAAAAAAGAACAATTGTAAAAAATGTTCTCTTGGTTAGTAAAACTACTCCACAGCACTTTTTATACAGAATACTAACACAGTTTGGTAGTATTTCAGGAAAAATACGAGGTATTTCGTCATTTAATCAAAGACAAAGACAATTACAAATATGAAAACAATAAAATTAATAAACAATATGGACAAATACGTTTTTAGTTCGCCTCATCTCATCATGGATAATAAAATAAATGGATAGGAAACTTCTGACGTCATTGGCCGCAACCTTGTTGAAAAACGTGACGTCACGCGTATTGCGAATATTTCCAAAGTTCTCGGCATTTTTGTTGTTTTGCTATATTTTCCACTTTAAAAGGGTGATATTGAAGCATAAACTGGTCTAATTGTCTTAAAAACATGCCTAAGTCACGACAAAGTATTCAAGGTAAATGTTTTTCGTCTTTGTTTTGTATTTTTTTACATTTGTAGCTACGAAATTGGCGTCACAAATTTTAACGAAATTTGCGATGTAGTTTTCACTGTTTAGTGCTTGAAATATTTGCTAAAATTGGCTGGGAATACTTAGAGTTTTCATCGTAGAATGGCGTGGTTATGTTTATTTGCTCTTGGACTAAAATGTTTAGCTGTATTATTGCTAAACATGCCGTTTTTGAGAATTTGGTTTTCAACCACAGGGAGCAGAGGAGTCGAGTTTATCTAGTAAAACAAGACAAACACGATCTTACCTTGTTAATTGTAGTATATTTCATTGTAAAATCCCAATGTTCGCATTAAAAATGCATATTTATTCATCAAAATTATCGAATATAAAACCAAAATATGAATTTTCAACATTAATATACTCCGCTGCCTTGAATTACCGCAGACTTGTATTTTCCGAAAAGCTAACGAAATAGCGAAATGTGAGCCCACAATAATCTAGAACAGCGGAGTATATTCATTTGGTGTTCATGTTACATGAAGTACGAATAAAAAATCATACAATGTTTATATACTTTATATCACTGCTTTATATGTTTCACGACAATTTCAAATGAAAGATATTACAATTAACAAGGTAAGATGTAGTCCAGTCCCAGACCCTATTCTCGCCACACGGCGCGGCGGAGAAGGAGGGTCCAGAAGAATTTGCATGCGCATGCGTCAACTACCACCACACATATGTGGAGGTCGCCAGGTCGCTAAGCTCTGTTTACTGTGGGGAAAATCCGCAATGTCAAAGGAAAGTTCTGATACTCTTGCAGCGCTGATTGAGAACAAGTTTCTTCATATTTTTGGCAGAGAATTTGTTGAAGCCGTTAAGTTTGCCATGGAAATGTGTAAATATAATTTT